CCTCCTCCTCTCTCTCTCTCTCTCTCTCTCTCTCTCTCTCTAGGTTGCACCATACAAGAAGGTGAGGAAGGTGGTATTCGTGAATTCCATTCCAAGGTCAACAGCAGGAAAAGTTCTTCGAAAAAAGCTGAGAGTATCTTGTGTATCTAAATACTAAAGAGACATGATACAAGATTTAAGTGTTTTGACACTGCTATATTCATTGGAGTGTTGTTTAAAATTAATGGAAACTCTGTGTTGGTGGTGCCACCCACATATAAAATATATATTACTATGTGGACCGCTAGATGGTTTCAGTCACAATGTCACGCCTAACACATCGCCCCTTTGACATGTCAAATTTTCCTAAAATTGATTTGAAAAAAACTAAATTCAAATACTCTGAGCCGTCTAATCAAGACAAACACTTAGAGAATATGGTGTGATGCCGTTCAAATTCAAAAAGCTATGAATTGCAATCACATCATATGTGGGTGTAACTACACGTAAAGATTTCCCAAAACTAAAAAACGTGGATCACTGGGCAATGAAGGCAAACAAACACAATCATCATTTTCAATAATGGGTTATTTTAGACAAAAGAAACACAATCATCATTTTCAATAATGGGTTATTTTAGATTTTTTTTTTGGTGTTCTATAGTTTCAGTTATTTTTGCATTGTTTTGGTTTTGTAGACAATGTTTGATATTATATTATATCCCTAATACTTTTAGTATCACACCCATAATCTTGTCATTCTTTTTTCCATGCTTTTACCTTAGGCAAAACGTAAATATTTTAAAAACTAAATTACCCTTCCCTTCACTTATTCCCTACTCTCTCTACTTGTCCCCTCTCTCTCTCTCTACCCGCTCTCTCCCTCTTTTTCTCTCTACCGAAAAGTGTGTGGGACCGGCCTCTGGCTTTTAAAAATCCAAAAAAGTCAAGACTGGTCCGGCACATTTTTGTTTCCTTGATAATCACTAAAATCTGCTTACCCCAAAAAACTAACTTCACATAAAATAAGCCCTAAAATTTTCAACTACAAATAATATTTCCGGACTGGCCCCAAATGTTTCATAAAGTCTAGATCCAATCGTTAGATCCTCTATTAGAGGGTAGAGATTGTCACCACTACAACAATGGGAAACTTTCCCAGGAAGCACAGATAATCTTTTCTTATGATTGGGATTCGACAGTTGCGATTACACTTGCATAAAACCTGTTCGTATAAGAACATTTCTAACATTTCTCAACAAATTACCCTACCATGCAATGACAACATCCTTAATTAATCAAAGAAAGGATTAGTGGATTTGCTTCCTCTAATGATCATTTTGATTTATTAAAAAAAAAAAGCTTTTTTTGGGTGGTTTTTTTTTTTTTTGAATAAAAGCCCTTTGATTTTAGTAAAATGACCTTTTCCACCAAATAAAATTAATGCGCCATAATTTTCTTCAAATATACCTTCGGGTCCAAAAAAAAGCCCATGGATCCCCTCAACTTTGATCGTGAACCAGAAAAAAAAAAAAAGCTTCTGGTAGCCCCAGATAGCATTCGGGGAAAGAGAAGGGATTTGAGAGTTCAGACACATGGGCAGCGACCTGTCACTCAGACTCACCTTATGGGCGAGGTGAGTTTTTTCCAAGTCGGTTTCGCTTTACTGGCGTGGTGAGTTTTATCCAAGTCGGTTGTATATCATGCAGTTATTAACTTTGTTGCTAATCAAATCGTCTGCTGGGTGGTATTGTTTTTTATAATTAGCCGTTTTAGTTAAAAAAAAAAATTCCAAAACCTCAAGTTTGGGGATCAAGCCCAAGAGTTGGGGATCGAGCTCAAGACCTCTTGGGCTGAGATGCATGCAAAGGCAATAAAGATAATAATTACTACGTTACTTTGTATTGAAAAAGTATGTCATCAGATCATCTACCTTTGGTACAAGGTGGTCACAATTAATCTTGACTATTGGATGTGAAATTGGGTGGCTGCATGTATTTTATTGACCAAGCTCAAAGTTCAAAATGAATTTTCTCGAACTTTGTGACACACCCAAGCTATCAGATTCCATATTGGATAGTTATAAACAACCGTGACCTCTTTGTACCAAACGTATCTCATTGTATACAATCCATTGAAAAAAGTTTTAGAGAGCTGAAGCCCTAAACAATCACATTAGAGCACACCTAAAAACTTTCACTTGAAGAGGTTGTTTTGATGCCCAAATATCCTCAAATTGATCATCTCAACATCAAGATGCATGGACATGAGAAAAAAAGTGGACTTCAAATTTTGGAAATAGTATATCTTGTAATGCATTTTTTACCATCAATTTTTAATATTTTTAAGTTTTCATAGATCTGCTCGATCTAAACTATTTTTTAAGCTTTAAATTGTATAATTAAAGACGAAATATATTTTAAGGCTACCACAAAGATTTTCAATATTGAAACCACATTTCTCGACATTATTTGAAAGTGAGCTCTACTTTGATTGTTTAGATCCCCAGCTCTATACAAACTGCACCCTTGTATTTTATGTAAATATATTGAAGATTATAGGACATATATTAAATTTTTTATTTTTATTTTTATTTTTTTCACTGGGCTTGGACTTGGAAGAGTTACAAACTCGTCAGAGTAACTCACATCTACCACGAACCGAGTACCTTAGCCGAGCCGAATACTGATACATTGCACGTGGGCAAAAAGTAACCCTAATTTTCCTTCCAAGTTCAATCGAGGTTTCTCCAAATGTGGTTTACATTTGTTTTTTTTTTTATGTTTCTCCTTTTATCCTTTTCCTCGGAATGATTTTGAACGTGTCTATCAATTGATACTGAGCAATTTTTTTTTTTTACAATAAAATGAATAATATTATTTTTTTTGACGAGTTACAATTGATGCCGAGCATTGGGAAAGAGATCTTAGAGCGAGAAAGCTTACGATGAAGAGAAGAGAGGAGCTTGCCGTGAAGATGGAGAGAGAGTGGTGCATGGGTAAATTATTAAATCTACAGATTAATTTCAAAAAATAAATAAATATTATACCCTCTATGTACTTGGAAAAAAATAATATATTGAAATTAAATAGATACCATACCCTTTATGCATTTGGAAAAAAATAATATATTCAAATTAAATAGATACCATCTAATGTTTAGATGGTCAGTATTAGAAAGTTCAAATTTTATTTTTTAAAAATACTTATTTTCCTAAGTGATTCTCAAATTTTCAAATTTTCAAATTGAAGAAATCCTCTTAAGTAGGACGGAGCTGAAGCAAAGTATGCTCCAACAGTGGTTTTGGAATTTGGACCATATTACTATTAAAAAACATAAAAAGGTGTGGTTTGTATAAAGCTGAGATTCTAAACAATTTTAATAGGGCTCACCTTTGAATAGTGTCAAAATATGTTGTTTTAATATTAGAAATCTTTATGATAGACTGAAATTTGTTTTTATCTTTAATAATAAAATTTAAAGTTAAAAAGTAGTAGATCGAGAAGATCTATAAATATTTGAAAATCTTGAAAATTAACAGTCTAGATAATACATTACAAGATACATTGTTTTTTATATTTGAAAACTTTTTTTTTCTCATGGCCATATACCTTGAGGTTGAGATAATCAAATTAAAGGTTTTTTTTGCATCAAAATAACCTATTTAAAATATATGCCTTTCATATAAAATGTCAATCTTATACTGTATGAGTAAGGTGCACTTCAAACACCCACTAGAGAAGGTTGTTTCTATGCTAAAAAACCCTAAAATCGATCGTTTCAACCTCGAGATTTATAAACATGACAAAAAACGGATTTCGAATTCTAAAAATAGTTCATCTTCTAATACATTATCTGGTCCGTCTATTTTTAAGATTTTCAAGTGTTTATAGATATATTTGATCCTAACCATTTTTTAAACTTTAAATTTTATAATTGGGGGTAGTAATAGATTTTCACGTTTTGCGGCACCGAAACTGCATTTTCGGCATAGTTTTGAGGTACGCCTTACTTCAATATAATAAGGTTGACGCCTTATACAAACCTCACCGTAATTTGATTGGTTAGAGGCTCACACTTATATAAACTTTTTCCAAAATAAAATAACGTTAATGTAATTTTGCAAGTACAGGGGAACATAGCGGGGTTACGTCTATTTCTTCCCTTAAACCGTGGTATTGGGTTTTAGGGACCAGGGATTTGAAGTTCGAATTTCTTCAATGGAGATTTCTGGGTTATCAGTAGAGCTCAGTTACAGGTCCTTTCTACCTGTTTCCGGTAACTCCCTTTAATTGATAAATAATGAGAAGAGAAAGCTGCGGTTTTGGGTCTTAAGAACCAGTGAGATGAAGCTCCAATTTCTTCAATGGCGATTGTCGGAGTCTGCAGAAGAGCTGTCTTACGGTTCTCTTCTTCCTATTTCAGGTACCCACTCTGCTATTCTTCACTTATTTCCGTTACCAATCCTTCTTCAACGCCTAAACCCCTGGAAAAACCAGACTTTTGCCTCTCTTCCTCTGAAAATCAAACAGTCGGTAGAGTTCTCCATTGTTTAGAATACAAGAGCTCTGATTATTTGATGAATTTATCTACTGGGTTGAACCCAAACATAGCAGTTAATGTATTGTTCAAGTGTAGCCACAATCTTCTGTTGGGTCAGAAGTTTATAGATTGGATGACCCAACAACCTGGTTTTAAGTTCAATTCTATTTGTTTGAGTGCAATGGTTCATATTCTGGTAAAAAGCAGGAGACTTTCAGATGCTCAGGCTTTTATCCTTCGAATGGTGCGAAAGAAAGGGGTCTCGAGACTTGAAATTGTTCAGGCATTGTTGGGTACTTATGATTATTGTGATTCCAATAAGCTGGTCTTTGATTTGTTAATAAAAACTTATGTTCAGGCTAAGAGGCTTAGGGAAGCTACAGAGGTGTTTAAATTGCTAGAAAAAAATGGGCTTTTGCCCTCGATTCATGCCTGTAATTGTTTACTTGGAGGTTTGGTTAAAGTAGCTTGGGTTGACCTTACATGGCAAATTTACCATGAAGTTATTAGAAATAAAATCCCTGTAAATATGTATACTCTGAATATTATGATGAATTCTTTGTGTAAGGAGAGGAAAATTGAGCCTGCCAAGTCATTTTATACAGAGATGGAGAATATGGGTTTTGCCCCAGATGTTGTTACCCACAATACTTTGATTGATTTGTATTGTCGAGAAGGCCTTTTGGAGGAAGCATTTGGTATACTGAACTCTATGCCGGTTAAAGGATTGAGACCTGGTATTGTAACTTATAATTCAGTTATAAATGGGCTATGTAGAAGAGGAGATTACTCAAAATCCATTGAGATAATGGATGAAATGCATCGAGTTGGTCTTGTTCCTAATACTTCTACCTATAATATTATGATCAGTGGGTCCGCCAAAATGGGGAATTCAGTTGAAGCCACACGGAATTATGAGAAAATGAAGAGTAAAGGTCTTCTTCCAGATATTGTGACTTTTACGTTGCTGATAGGCTTGTCTTGTAGGGAAGGAAATCCTGATATTGCTTTAGGATATCTTGGGGACATGAAAAATACAGGTCTGGCTCCTGATAATGTGGTCTACACTATGGTTATTAATGCATTTTGTAGAGCTGGTAGGACCACTGAGGCCCTCAGGTTGCGTGATGAAATGGCGGAGAGAGGTTCTCTTCCCGATGTAGTGACTTACAACACAATTTTGAATGGGTTGTGCAAGGAAGGGAGATTGTCAGATGCTGATGATCTCTTTAAGGAAATGGCTGAAAGAGGCTTGGTCCCTGACTATGTTACCTTTACCACTTTAATTGATGGGTATTGTAGAGATGGATCCATTGAAAAAGCCCAAGATTTATTTGATGAAATGAGAGATAGGAATTTGAAGCCTGACATTGTCACATATAATACTTTGATAGATGGCTTTTGCAAAGAAGGGGACATGGAGAAGGCCAGAGATTTGTGGGGTGATATGATTAACAGGGGTATTCTACCTAATCTTGTTACATATAGCACAATGATTGATGGGTTTTGTAGCAAAGGGAACATGATGCAAGCAGTTGGTTTATGGGATGAAATGGTGGAGAAAGGCATTGCACCCAATGTTATAACATATAATTCTGTTATAAAAGGCTATTGCCGATCAGGAAATTCTAGCAAGGGTGAGGAGCTCTTGGCTGAGATGACAGGGGAAGGCCTTGTTGCCAACAAGATAACGTACAATACTCTTATTCATGGGTTTTGCAAAGAGGAAAAGATTCCACAAGCTTTTGATTTGGTTGTTAAAATGGAAAATCACGGGATTCGCCCTGATGTTGTCACATACAATGCACTTTTGAATGGGTTTTGTAGGCAGGAAAGAATGAAAGAAGCTAATGTTGTCTTTCAAAAAATGGTTGAGAAGGGGGTAATGCCTGATAGGTTGACATACACTTCTTTGATGAATGGATATGTAGCTGTGAACAACGTGAGAGAGGCATTTCGTTTGCATGATCAAATGCTGCAGAAAGGTTTTATACCAGATGATAAATATTAAATATACCTTGTTTTGGTGCAGATCAAGATCCATATTTTTGTAGGCAAGGGCTGCCATATACGTTCAGTTATATCCATGCTGACATGATGCACAAAGTAGCCTTCTTAAGTGATTCTTTTTGTGAGCTAAGACTATTTATTGGTAAGTATTGCTACTAATATTGTTCTTCAAGGATTAAATTGGATAATCCCAAATTTGAGATATTTTTGGATTTCAAGCCAAATATATACTATTGGTCTAAGAAGGGTGAGGACCTTAAACTTTCCCTTAGCCCGTCCCAAGCCTGGATAAAGGAGGTAGGTTGTGTTAGGTAGGCAGCCAGAGTAAAACTTTGCCATATCTTATCATAGCTGACCCCAATTATTTGGGATAAGGCTTGGATGATGATGATGATGATGATGATTTATCTCTTTCAAAATAAAGCCAAATATCTACTAATAGGGGCCAGAAGCAGTTTGGGTTTCTATATCTTTCTTTCTTCTCCATCTAAAAACCTTGCATTTAACCCAAAAAGCATCATCCAAGAAAAAATTTGAGTGAGAGACAAATATTTTTGTATAGCAGAAAATTTCCCTTTTGTTTTGTCGAGCATCTCTCGCTCTTTGTACAAAGGGTTAGCTTCAAGTCCAACTCCTACTACCCAGCTGCATCTCTCTTTACAAAATTAGCCCCCAAACCTACTGAATTTCTTTCTCTTCTGTTAGAAAACTCTCTCTCTCTCACCTACTCAATCTTTTCCCCACCCAAATCTCGTCATCTACAAGGCACTGAGTACTGACTCCCTTGCTGCAATTATTTCTCTTCAGAGTACTCCGCTCTTATCTGCTTCTTTTCACCCCTTCTCCTCTCAGCTTAACCCCATCTTGCCCTAACAGTTATGCAAATAGACTATGCCACTTTAGGGTTCCAAGGGGTTGAAGAGGGTACTAGGATTTGGTACTTAGTTCCATGGATTTTGTGGATGACATACACGATGCGAGGGGAGAGATGCCCATTAGTGTTGATGCTGGTGGAGACTATGACTTTGTTGATAAGCATAGAGATCAGTTAGAGAATTGAACTTCACATATGCAGTAGGTATTTTGCCATAATTCTTGTTAAGAATGATTCTTAGCCTGCCTTTCATTGCGTTGCTTTGTGTAATGTTCTATGGATCCATGGTTCTTGCACCAAATTATGGAACTTATGTTGATATTTATGCAAAGTTGCTTGCTTTTCTGTTAACCATTTATTTAACTGATGGATGGTATTGGAATTCTTGTTCTATCAAATCTTCCACCTTGAGTCCGTCCTTTGATGTGATATTCTCTAAATCTGGTGGTTTTTTGCATTTAGTTGGTGACTTTAAATAAAATTGATGTTTGAGTTGATGGTTGTTGATGTAATTCTTATTGTGATTGTTGATTTTGATGTAAATTGCGATGAGAGATATGCCAAAAGGGCTTTGGGGGATTTATGCAACTGGTGCTTCTTCTACCTCTGAGTTTTGTTAAAATAGAAATTTGGATGTTTGTGGTGTTTTTGGCTTTTGCTTTCTTGTTTACTAACTGCATATGAACTGGTACAGATATATGGATATGGGTTTTATTTTCCCCTATTTTTTTATTGGATAAACGGCAAATGATACTAATGGAAGGGGCTCAATGGGATGCAATCACCCTCCACTGACTTTTGGATATTCTTTTGAAAGGGATTTGAGGAATTTATGTGTCTTGTGTTTTCTCTTTTTAATGATTGGAAAATATGTTGGAAGGGTTTTTAAGTTTGATTATCTTTTAGCATTGCACCTCAGCAGGTGAATTACACCCAAAAGATTTGAGGTTTCTTGCTGGACTTTGGGTTCTATATTAATAATGTGGGTATACACAAATGTGTATACACATTATTATATATTTCATGAATGAGTTGGTGGTTTGTATCACTTCCCTAGATGCACTTACTACGCTTATCATCTTACTCTTGACTCTCTCTTCCGTTATAGTGCTACTCAAGCAACTGTGTTACTCATTGTTTGTGTGTGTGGAGAGAGAGAGAGTGCTTATTGCATTGTTGAGAGAGAGAGAGGATATTTGCTATTGATATTTTCTCCACTTTTCTCTATTTATTTCTATCTCCTCTTCTGTGGAGAGAGTTTTTCATAGTGTGTTGAGAGAGAGAGAGAGGGTTTTGTTGCATTATTTATTGTTTTGTTCTGGATATTTATGAGACCCCATGTCTGTTTTCTAATTCCAGGATTTTCGATATCCACGATGCCTTGTTTGGAGGAGTTACGCTCAGCATTGTGCTCAATCCCTAGCAAAAGCTTTACGAAATGGAAAATGATTTGATCCCCTACTGTGGATGTGAGGAACATTTAACTGAAGATAATTCAACGGTTGTAGGGGACGGGAGGCGAACTGCCAAGTGCCTGATTTTCATGAACAACTTGGCAAACCATATATATGAATTGCAGAATAAAAGATGGGCTATATCAAAGTGGGTCAAGATATATATGACCACAAGGGTATCATCCAGTATAATTGTGTCAATAGTGATTGGTTGGTTTTCGTTTTCCTTTTTTTTAACTGTCCCAACATCAGTACACAGTGGTGGGATCCTCGCCCATGCATTTTGTAATTTGTGATTGGTATTCAAGTCTTTTGTACGAGGTATGGCCATGCATCTAAATCAATTGGTGGTGGTTGCATATAAAGATAGAATTCATGCTCAACGCCTTAAGACTCTCACTCTTTAATCTCTTCGCAGAGCCTGAGTTTGCAAAAGAATGTTCGAGTAATGATTCAGTCATCCGAAGTGGACCATGGTATTATTGCATAACTCAGAAATTGCCGTTACCATCCTATCAATGTCAACTGTTACTTGTTAGATATTCATGTCGTTTGCTATGCCTTAAGCTGCCATATGTGGACCACATTACTGCATGACTAGAATTTATATTGTGCATCTATGAATGGTTGATGCACATTAAAAGGTGCTACAGTTTTTATAAAAGAAGGGGAGAGAGACAGAGAAAGAGATATCCCCGGTGGGATTTCCATCATTTTTACTGTGTTTTTATATCAGGAAAACTTTAAATCCTGAAAAGGACAAAAAAAAAATTTCGGAGAACTTTCTTTGGTTGAAATCTTGAGTTTAACCGTGAAACTCCTTATAATTTAAAGGAAAGGGCTCTATACTTCCCCTACAGCATAAAAAATCTATATTTCCCCTCAAGTCATTCTCCGACCATCAAGTCATCCAATTTTGATAAAAAGAGCAACTCATTGTTAGATTATAGATCCAATGTTTCAAATATTTTATTTTTAGTTTTTTTTATATAAATTGTATGAATATGAAATTTGGTACGGGCCATTTTCTCATTGGGGTGCACTTATAAAAAAAAATATTAAAAATAAATTTTCGATAAAATATAATGACTAAAACACCCCATTAAAATTTCAAGGGTATTTTGGTTATTTTATTTATTGTAAATATTTGTTTATATTTTTCGTTAGTGCGAGTTTAATAGAGGATTGGACATACCAAATTTAGTGTCAAAATAGTTTATAGAAAAAAATTAAAAATAAAATAGTTTAGAGACGTGACATTGTAGTTGAGGCAATCTTAGCCCTCCATTTTGGACAGTTGGATAAAAGGAAGTTATATACTTTTATGATATAGGGGAAGCTTTTTATGCTCATTATCGCTCTCTCTCTCTCTCATACACACATTATGCATAAGTCTCTGTTTTTATGTACGATGAGTACAATTTATGTGTACTTGACTGTTTATGAATGGTCACCATTGAGAGAAGACCGGTAGCAACTCTAGGGTGGTGTTTTTTTTTATTTGGAAAAATTAAAAAAACTCCCAAATATACACTTCATATGCACCCCACCCAATTTTTTCTGTCATTTTTTTCTCCAAAACATATTTTTCTAGCAAATACCCCCAACACAAAAAAAACAAAAAAAAGACTAAATTACTGTAATACTTTTACCATGACTCTCACTCCTCTTTTCCTTGTTTTTCTTCAAAACTATGGTCCGGCAGTCAAAACAAGTGGTCTGACACTTTTCGTTCTGGTCAAAACTGCGATCAGGCAGAACAAACATGCGATCTAACACTTTCGTTCTGGTCAAAACAGCGGTCCGGCAAATTGAACAAGCGATCCGGCACTGATGTTTATAGACAAAAGTGCGGTCCGGCAAAACAAACATGCCCTCTAACACTTTTGTTTCTGGACAAATGTGTGGTCCGGCAAATTGAACAAGCGGTCTGGCACATTTTTCCTGGACACAATGCGGTCCGGTAGAGAATGGATGTGATCCGGCATGTTTTTTAGTTTAATGGGATCCGGCAATGGGTTCATGGTGGTCCGACAACCCATGTGGCTTTTGGTACTGTACGTATGCCCACGTGAAGGTCTGGCCAAAATTATTATTTTTCTGTGTAAAAAGGGTATTTTCGTCAAAAAAAATGTGCCTTTTTGTATTTTGGGGGTATTTGTTAAGAAAGTATATTTTGAGAAAAAAAATGAGAGAAAAAATTGGGTTGGGGTAAGTTGTATAAGAAGTGTATTATTGGGTTTTTTTTTGTAATTTTTCCAATATCTCAAGTGTATAAAGATGGTTTTCTAGCTGTAATAGATTTTGTATAATTATTTGCAAAAGAAGTGTATTATTGGGTTTTTTTTTGTAATTTTTCCAATATCTCAAGTGTATAAAGATGGTTTTCTAGCTGTAATAGATTTTGTATAATTATTTGCAAAAGAAGGTGATTTAGCAATACCACTAAAAGAAGCTCAAGTAAATTTTCACTGAATAGGGACATAATTGAATGGGGAGTGATGATTCACATTTTCAAAATTGATTCTAGTCATTTACATTTTACACCTCTGCCACTATGGTTTTGAGATGCAGGTGATGCTATGCTTCTGTCTCTTCATCCTGAAACGAGAGTCTTAATCTCGTTTTTCATTTTATTGTAAATGTAAGTACTTAATATGAGCTTTTTCATAAAAACAGAATGCAACATGTGGAGGTATCACCAAATGTTGAGTTGTCAAATGATTTTGTTGATATCAAATTAAAGAATTGCAGTGCCAGAAAGAACATAAATAGATTTTTCTCATGCCGAAAATTGTTATTCATGTCCCCTTTCTACAAAAGCTTATAAAAGCAGTAATGGCTAGTGTTTGCAACATTATCATTGTAGAGAAGTCATCAACCAGGAATATTACTTCTGCAGCACTTAGCAGTTGGACATGCTTATCATCTCAATAGAACCATTATTGCCGGTTTTAATTTTGTGAATCGACATCCAGTGGCCTGTTGCCCAAGAGGGGTTCAGAAATGTCCAACTTGTTGTTTTGATAAGTGTGAACATAATGCCCAACTTGTTGTTTTTCTATCTCCGGCGAAGATTCTGTTATCTACGATCGAGTACATTGTTTTGTTACTCGATCTTGTCTAATTGTCTTCAGCTGTTGAATGGGTCTTGGATTTGCACCGAGTTTTGTTAGCTCTTTCAAATATCATTCTTTTTTTTCAGTTGTCTCGACTGTTTTTCTATCTTTGGCGAATATATGAAGTTTTTGTCTGATTGCTCAAGCCTACTCTATTATGGCCGTCTGTTTTTTAGACCTACTGATTTGTTGTTACTCAAACCTACTTTGTTCGAGGCTTCTATTTATGAGGATCGTTGATTTGCCATTACTAGAGTTTCTTATGTTGTTGCCTTGTTTTCTAGGCTTGCCATCTGTTATCCAAACTCCAACTACTCTCTCTTAAAGCATATTGAGTTTGCGAGGGAATATGAATATATATTTGAAAGCATTTGAGTTTAAGGGGGAGTATGAACATATATTTGACTTTTGTACATATTATATACAGCCTATTTGTTTGACTCTTTACATACACGAGTTAGGAAGATATGAAAACCTATACAACTTGTACACATATTACGTAGGCTATGTAATACATGTTCTATGTGGGGTTTAAGGCTCAAAAATATAGAAAATACAAAAATTTCTAATAATAAACTATAAATTTCATTGAGAGGAACCTTTGGAATTTCTCAAAGTTTTGTTCTAGGTGAGAACTTCAGAGTTCTTCTTCCATGGCTTGCTCCTGTTTGGGGGAAGGTTTGGTTGATGGATGGACAAACTACCACAGTGGATGGCTTGCCAGTTTGGCTTTTTAAAGATTCTCATGAGTCCAAAGAAAAGACTCATTCCATTGGCAAGGAAGTGATGAGGAAGAAAAAAGGCATCTCTATTGCATCTTTCTACATGGCAGCTTACCAAAGTCTTTATGATGTAACCTTTGACTAAGGCTCACTATCAGTTTCACCATCTCTATTAGGCTGATTAACTTTGTCACGGCTAGTCCCAAGTCCAACGAGAAAAGAGGAGGGTTGTGTTGGGTTGTTAACCAGCATAAAAGTTTTGCGACATCTTTGTCATGAATCCAGATATATGGTTGAACAAGTTTTGTGTAGCCAACTCCAAATAGTTGGGATAAACTCGGCCATGGTTACATTTAAAGTGGGGTTTTAAAGTTGGGGTTTATTTATTATATTAGTATTGGGATTTCAAAAAATTTTCTAGTACCTCCCCAACCATCCGATGTCAACAATGGACAGTTCCTGAGTGTTTACTCTCCACACGAATTGCGTTCAATTTTTTTTTTTTAAAGGATAATTCATATTTCATAACTACTTATGTTGACATTGGGCAATCAGGAAGGTGCCGGCAAATTGATTGATACCCAGGTACTGGATTCTTTTCCTTAAGGTTCTAAGTGTATGCAATTGGGCCTTTAAGGGGACACATTCACCTTTCTTTTGTCTTTCTTTTGTACAAAACTTAGGGTGAGTTTCTATTAAATTATTTTTCTGAACTAGAAAAAATACTTTTTTCAAAATTTATCCAACTTTTTGGAAATTTATTTTGAATGAAATTAAGCAATAAAAATTGTCAGTCAATTGGACAAGATGCACAATTATACTCATCTCTTTTAAGTGATTATTGCCTCCACTTTCTCTCCAAAATGAATGCAAGCCATTAGTAATCTTATTTAATAATTTATACTATTAGTAATAAATGCAAATTATTATCTCATCTAAGGACGTGGTTTTCATGAGTCCTAGGACGCATATGTAGATATGCATCCCCTTTTTATGATCCCTTTTTTAGATGGTTCTTGAACTTAATTTTTTAGGTATATATAATCTCTTACATGAATATCATTAGTATATAAAATTAATAAAATTTAAAAATTATAATTTTTTGAAAAAAAATTAAAATGTTGGGTTCTATCATTGGAAAATGGTTTGAAAGGCCTCCAGCCCTATCAAAACAAGTAAAGCCTCACCTAATAACGCATCCAAAATTACAATTTAAGCAAATAAACCTTTACATCAATTATCTCGACCTTAACATTATGGTTGTGAAAGAAAATTAGGATTTCATGCTCTAAAAATTATGTATTTTGTAACAAATTATCTAAACTATCTATTTCGCCCTAAAATAAATGTTCACATAACTGTACCATTTTTTTAATTTCAAATTTTATCGTTGGAGTTAGAAATTGATTTTAGAGTTGAGGTGAGGCTTTATTTTGTTTTCATAAAACCTAGGCGTCATAGAGACCTCATCCTTTATCATTTTTGGAGAGACCATCAGTCTACATCCATCTTTAAAATAGATGTGAGACATTGTAGTTGGGC